TGGGGTGGGAGAATTGCTTGAGGCCAGGAGTTTGAGACCAGCCTGGACAACAAAGTGAGACCCCTCTCTACTAAAAATTTAAAAAAAAATTTAACCCCTCCTACAACATGGGAAAAGTGAATTCTAGGCTGCGTGAGAAAAGTTCTAGACATCACTGTTTAAGTGTAGCAAGCAGGGTGTTAAGAGCTGTTCACGGTGGCACAGGGGCTTGTGCCGTAGGTGACATGGACATATTTTGATGGAATTGTGCTTCATATGACATCATTCACTTTTTTAAAGGCAAAATGGGGTGATGAGAGGAGGCTGCTGGGGATAGGGAAGCTAACCACAGGGAATGATGGAGGAATATCTAAGAATAGTGCTACTTCCTTTAGTCTAGGTAATGTTTTCCCTTCTGTTACCCACCAATAACCCATTATGATTTGTCCAACACAAGGAACATCCTACATTCTAACGAAAGCCCAGAAAAAAAGAGACAGAAATAACCTTGGGCCATTGTGGGAGTTCTTTTTTAGAGAAGGCTGAGGTTGGGAAAAATAATCCTTCTCCAGGAATAGATTATAAAGGAGACCTGCTAGGTCCAGATGGGTACCCAAGACTTCTTCAGGCCGTATGACCAGCATTTCTCTCTTCTTTAGGTCAGTTCTTTCACAGCTCTCCACTCACCACGTTTTGTCCAAAGAGCTCTGCTAGTTCTTGCCGCAAGGTTTATGTTGAATACGTTCCAGTGGTGAGGTCACCCTCATGGAAGGTTTCCATATATGACATGCCTCTGTTGCTACGCCCAAGAGCTTTCCCAAGCCCCTTTTACTGACGCTGTCCAAGAATAAGGTCTTGGCTGGATTCCCACATTGAAGGGGCAATGAAGTTTTGGTTTCTGAAAATAGAAGGTATTGTCCTTTTGTCTAATTATAAAAGCAATACATGTTCTTTGTAGTACATTTGAAAAAATTCAAAAAAGGATATGGGAGGAAAAAAAGAACAGTCATCTCATAATTCTATCACCTACAGATATCTAATATTAATATTTTAATGTACTTCTTATTCAAAGTTTTTCTGAATACATGTATTTATGTATATTTTAGGAACGCAGCATTGCAGTGGTTGACTGTGGGTTTGGACATTTGACACTATTCATTTGGAGTTCTGTGGCCTTGGGCAACTTAAACTCTTTAAGTCTTACTTCCTTCAGCAATAAAGTTTGCTGATTCTTAATCTAGTCCTCGGTCAGAATCAAATTATTTTAACTTATAGTTTATAATAAGTGTTATTTGATAATAAAAATTTCCCCCAACATTTTATTTCAATTTTTAAATGGTTATTACACATATTCCAGATTAATTTAGAATAATCTTAAGTTAAAAAATGGTGTTTTTTAGTAGACTTGCATTTAAATTTTTGGGTTAAAGAAGTAACATCTTTAAAACATTAAATCTTCCTCATAGAATACCGATAGTGTGTCTGTCTTTCCATTTATTTTCTTCATGTCCCTCTGAAAAGCTTAGTGGTTTTCTTCATACAAGGCTTGCCCATTTCCTGTTAACTTTGTTCCAAAGTATTTTATATTTTTAGTTGCTAGGTGCCGAATGAGATTGTTTTTTCCCCAATCACAACTGGCTATTACCTATACTGGAAAGCTACTTTCAAAGTTTTAAAACGTTATCTTTTAGTGAACAACCTTGTGCCTTTCTCTTATTAGGTCTAATCATTTTTTCAGTTTATTATCTTCAGATTTCTAGGTAGATACTTAGTTTGTAGCCCAAGCCTGTCTGCTTTCCAGTCATATACTCTTTCTCTTACTTCATTGCATTGGCTAGATTATCCTTTCAGGATACTGTCCAATAATTGTTAGAATGGATCTATCTTGTCCCTGCATCAGTATTTGCTTAAGTATGATTCTGGGTGTTGTATCAGAAGATTTATGTTATCATGTTAATAAAGCTTCTCTCTCACTTTCTTTTTTTCTTGTTTTTCCTTGAGTCAGGGTGAGTGAATGTACAGCTGGGCCTAGAAGCAAATTCTTAATTGTTCAACATGGCACTTCCTCTTGAGAGGATAATATTCTAATAGTCTTGATCTGAACAGGCCTTCCAGTGCCCTAAGCAAAGCTCCTCAGAAAAAATGATCCTTGACTCAGAAGTTCTACTCTAGGGTCACATGCTTGAAAGAACCTTGGACAAACCGATCTCCAAACTCAGGTGGGGTTAAAACAGTGAGAGAGGTGGGAGGCACGATACCAAGCTGACTATAACTATTTTCCTTCATTTTTTTTTTTCTTTTGAGACAGTCTTTGTCACTCAGGCTGGAATGCAGTGGTGCATTCGAGGCTCACTGCAACCTCTGCCTCCCGGGTTCAAGAGATTCTCCTGCTTCAGCCTCCCAAGTACCTGGGACTACAGGTGTGTACCACCACATCCGGCTAATTTTTGTATTTTCAGTAGAGACAGGGTCTCACCATGTTGGCCAGGCTGGTCGCAAACCCCTGACCTTGTGATTCCCCCCTGCCCCACCCCGTTGGCCTCCCAAAGTGCTGAGATTACAGGCGTGAGCCACTGTGTCCGGCCAACTGTAACTATTTTCTAGAGAACAACATCTACTCTGGTCCTAAAACTGTGTTCTCAAAATCCATTGGAAACATATTAAAATTGCAGGATTCACTGGACTTTCACTCATTAAAGATTTGCTCCTAGTGGCCTCCATTGTTCTCAACTCCAATATGAAACATTTCTCTTTCAACTGGGCTAACTAAAACCTCAAAGAAGCCATCGACAGTCAAAGGGGATAGGCACTTATAATTTTAAATTCTGTGGTACCAAAATGAAAGCTGAAATCCAGCTTTCGTGACACTGGCCCAGGGGAATGTTTCCCTCATGCTGCCTTTTATAGTATCTGGTACCCAAGACAACATTACAAAAGCTTAAGGGTTCCTTCTTTCCCTTTGGTCCCATTTAACTAGGAGTATGTTAAAGTGACCATCTGAAAAAAATCCAGTTCTGCTCTGACCCCCAGCAAAGCAGCTCCTCTGATTCTCTCTGTACTTTGCCTATGGCACTTTGGTGGGTTTGTGCTGCCCAGGGCAACTGGGACATTGTTTGGCAACCTGACATTGCTTCTGTCTCCCCCACTCAGCCCAGAACATTAGGCATGGTACTTATGCAGCTTGCAAGAGCAGAAAAGTCTCCTGGTCTTTGAGCCTCAGGAACCCAGGAGTCAGTCTTTAAGCAAATAGTCACTACCCTTTTAATATAATGTCTTTCCTCAGGTTTTATAGTTCAGTCCCTTTTATCCACAGTATTCCTTTCCTCCTTTCTCGAGAGCTCTGGCTCCTCCTCTTTCCCTCCAGCCTACCCAGTCTCACGGCTTCCTTGTGGGCTGGCTTGATTCCATGTCTCTTCCACAGAGGTAGGGTGAAGACAGAGACACTGAGATGGTCCTATGCAGAGTGCCTCTGCAATGGCTAGGCTGTCCAGATACAAAGAGGGATCTACAGACTGATTTCCTGCACCCATCTAGCTACTAAGATATCTTGTGCATAGAGGAAGAGAAAAGAAAATAGAGCAGTTTGGCAGTCTGTGATCAATGTGGTTGCAATGTATGATATGCTGTTTACCTGGCTGAATGTCTTTCGTGGGCGGAGACTGATAATTCTCACAATTCTTAGGATACTATCAAGGACCAATGCAGTGGTTTTCAACCCTGGTTGTACTTGAGAATTCTAGTAGCTTGAAAGACAAACACAGAAACAATGTCTGGGGCTCTACCCTGGAGACTCAGCTTTCATTGATGAGGACGGAGCACAGGCATCAGTATTTTTTAAATTGCTCCCTAGGTATCAGAATGTGTAGCCAGGGGTAAGAACTTTAAGTGGAAAGTTCTGACTAAAGCTACATTTAGATTTTCGGCAATGGGAAGCTATTGCAGGTTTTTGAGCAAGACAGAAAATATGAAGATGCTTGTAATGTGAGGAGCATCTCCTGATCAAAGTGTGCAGAACAGACTAGAATGAAGAAATGCTAAAAACAAAGAGACTTGGTAAAAGCCTATGGCTATCGTCCAAGTAAAAGGTAAGAAAGCCCTAAACTAAGTGGTAGACAAAGAATGGGAAGAAGGGGATGGATTTCCCAAAAGCACAGGACTGGGCAATTTTAGGAATGTTTAGAGCAAGGTGGAACTGCCAGGCTGCTCTGAGTCGTAGCAAGGAATGGCTTGCCCTAGACCACTTGGCCCCCAGACCAACCCACACCAAAAATAGCAGAGAAGGAATTTCCATTATATGGGGAGTTAAGAACCCAAAAGAAGAAAAATAATTTAGAGAACTGAGCTCTTTCAGAGGACAAGTTCAAGGACCACTAACCTCAGCAATAAAGAACATATTTAGGACACAGCATTTTAAAACAAAGCAAAACTTTTATGTATTCACAGATTCTTCTTCCCCCCAAACAGAATTCTGATGTAGAAAGAAATCACTCTTCTCCTAGCCAAAGTAGTTTATGCTCCTGCCCTCACTCAAGGTGTCACAAATGACACCATTATTTCTAGGCCACCTAGAACACCAGGCTCAGCTCACAGAAAAATGCAGTATCAATTACTGCTTTGAGTATCTTCCTGGGTGTTGCCTTAGTCAGAAAAGAATAGCCAACACAATGAAATTGGTAAGGTGGGGTGGCTGGGAAATGTAATCATTTATTGGAGTGTAACCTGGTACTCTAAACAAAGGCTTCGTTATCCTCAGCCAAAAGTGTGGAAGGCATAAAAAAGAAGTGAATGGTTGACCCACTTGAGACAGCACCAAAAGAACAGAGATGACTTCACACCTCTGGAAGATGGCAACAGGCAGAGAAAAAACATGGAATAATTACAAGTGAACTGGGACACACCTTCAGTGTTAGTATATCTCAAATTCCATTTTTCCCTTACCTTTCCAAAACAACCATGGCTTTTTTTTTTTAACCTGTCTATACAATGCTTGATCAAATGGATCACTCTGGAACACAAAAACGTAAGTTAATTGTTATTTTATTATAGAGGAAAAATATCCTGAAATGTTTGTTAAATAACAGTAATTCCTGACAAAATCACTCTTCGGGATGTGTTAGCCTCACCATCTGGTCAGATGGAGTGAACTATCCCTCACCACGGTAATAAGCTCCATTAATATTGCCATAAACCACAGGAAAATCCAAAAGATTTTCTAAATGGCTTCCAAAGTTCTGCATAGATGCCCTTATTGAGCCTAGAGGTAAATAAAAACAAATTGGCAGAGAAATTAGATGGTATCTGAAAGGAAAAAAATGTTAACAATTGGTGAATCTAGAAGGAAGGGTATATGGGGGTTCATTATACAATTCTTTACAGTTAATTTCTGAGTTACAGTTGCTTTCGGGTGGTCATGCTCTCTTTCTGACTTGCCTAAAAAAATATGTTCAGTTATTTCTTTTCAAACCTGAAATGCAAAATCAACTCTTTCTCAGGTGATGGTCCCTTTCTATTCTGTCTACAGAAACTTCCAAAGCTTTCTAGAAAGCTTAAATTAAGGGGCCACAGTACATTGATACGGTTTTGTCATTCTTAGAAAGTGTTGGACTCAAATGCTCATCGAAGATCTGTGATGGTCACTGCTCTGTCCACAACAGTCACATGGCTGCAGCTCTACAATAGGAAAAAAGAGAGAAAGTGAAGTCCTAGAAAATTCTGAAAAGTCATTTTTTTTTCTTTTGAGATAGGGTCTTGCTCTATTGCCCAGGCTGGAGTACAGTTGCATGATCTCAGTTCCCTGCACCCTCTGCCTCCTGGGCTCAAGCCAGTCTCCTGCCTTAGCCTCCTTAGTAGCTGGGATTACAGGCACAAGCCACCACACCCGGCTAATTTTGTATTTTTAGTAGAGATGGGGTTTCGCCATGTTGGCTAGGCTGGTCTTGAACTTCTGACCTCAAGTGATCTGCCTCAGTCTCCCAAACTATTTGGGTTACAGGTGTGAGCCACTGCACCTGGTCTGAAAAATCATTTTTAAAAACCCCTTATTTAAAATGTTCATCCTAGGCTAGTGGTTCTCAGTCTGGAAGCCAGACTGCTATTTAAGGGTAGTTATGGTAAGAGTCAGGGGCTCATTACTACTAACAATCCCACCTGTAGAGGAAATCAGTGTTTGCCCATACACCTTTGTTTATTTTTAAAGTGTATGTATATTCTAGACTCATTCTTTGTTTGGTGCCTAAATTTGGGAACAAATAGTGTCATCCCTAAAATATACATTAATTTAAAAGAATTACTGAATTCATCCGTTTTTTTGGGCCATGATGTTACCCAAATAATAAAGATTACCTACTATCACATGGTCGGAGAACAATGTTCCCTTTTGGCATGCAAAAGCGGTCTTTATAACTGAAAACCTGGGTACTAATGTCCCAGACGTTTTTTTTCTGATTGTGTAGTTTTTGATTCAAAATACTAGCACTTAAGACATTCCAAGGCAGACTGATCTATTTTTGAACAGATTTGTCAGAAAGTTCTTCCTCACACTCAGCAGAAAACCATCATTCCATGAAGTCTTAGTTTTAGTGCTAGGAGTGATATGAAATATACCCAATCCCTTTTTTCATACATCAACTCTTCTAACACTTGAAGTCAGCTCTTAGATCCCTTGTGGAGTTTCTCTTCTAAACGTCTCCAATTCCTTTTATGTGTCAAGGTTCCCTTTTCCATATTGCTCGCTTTTCTCTGAACCCAAAAGAAATAAACTCCATGACCAGCATGGAGTAATACAATACCATCACAACAGATTGGAGGGGCAAACTGATCTTATTATCAACTAAACGTTTTAATCACAGACTACAACTTAGGGAAAAAACGCTGTAGGAAGGTCATAAAGTCCCTATGATTTAAGCAAAATTCTACAATAAATATACTTAATTTACCTATCTTAAGTGGCTTCTCTTCCTTACATTCAAATCTCTGATTGAAGTACAGCCTTAGAAACTGACATTGATGAAAGAAAAAAGTAACATTTGATAAGCCAGTGACTGTATTTGGCAATTCCTGTATATTAATTCATTTAATCATCTCAAGAACCCTATAAAGTAGGTGTTATTTTTATTTTTGTTTATTTTTCGTTTTTATTGAGACAGAGTTTCGCTCTGTAGTCCAGGCTGGAGTGCAGTGGCATGACCTCAGATCACTGCAACCTCTGCCTCCTGAGTTCAAGCGATTCTCCTGCCTCAGCATCCCAAGTAGCTGGGACTACAGGCGCATGCCACCATGCCTGGCTAATTTTTTGCATTTGTAGTAGAGACGGGGTTTCACTGTGTTAGCCAGGATGGTCTCAATCTCCTGACCTTGTGATCCGCCCACCTCAGCCTCCCAAAGCGCTGGGATTACATGTGTGAGCCATCATGCCCAGCCAGTAGGTGCTATTATTATGCTTGTTTTATAGATGGGAAAATTGAGGCCCAGGAAGGGTAAGTAGCCTAATCAAAGGCATACAGTGGCAGAGCTAAGATGCAAATCTATTCTTATCCCACATTGCTTCTCATGTCCATCCTCACTAGGGAAGTCTGGAAAGTTAAGTGACAAGGCTGGTCTGTGTGGATCGGAAAGGATGATGCATTTTCTGACTGTCCTCCCTGCTTGAAGCACAGCCCCAGTTTCTTCTGTGTAAATACATACACAAAACAGAGGTGGATCCTTGCTGTGTGGATGAAATCCTTTCTGGCGGCAGGAAGAAATCTCCTCTAGTCCATGGTCAGTTAGTTTAAAGAATCCAGTTCTGAAATTTTAAAAAGGCAGGCAAAGAGTAAGGCAAAGGTTTTCCCTCCATCCCAAACACATGCACGCACACACACACACACCAGCACGCACACACATACAGCAGGGCAGAGGTCACTGTGAGACAGTTTCTGTAGTTTGCTGGTTCATAGGTCTCTTCTCTGGTGAATGAATCACAGTTAGAGAATGATTCATTACTGTTCTCATTCTAGTTTTGCTGGATAATTCATAGTAAATAATCAGAGTGGGAGTGGAGACAGGATTTGGAATGAAAAAGAAGTGACACTCTGAGATAATGTGTTTGATTTTGAAACTTTCTAATCCAACAGAAAACTCTTGATATTCCTATCATTTCAAGTCAAACACTTCAAATTTCTTGAAGACTTTTCTTTGAAAAGCAACTCAGTTGTTACTTGGATATCTTTTTGAACAAGCACGATAGATTAATCATGATATGGGGCTTAAAAGGAAGCCCTTTAGAATAACCAATTTATACCACAATCTATTTACAAAGAACAAGTCTGCAAAAATAGAGACCTTTTCCTCTGAGGCTTTCTTCACTTGTAACACCCAGAACCATGACCTGTATACTCACTCCTGGAACTTGGGGGAGCAAACAATGGCTATCGACTCTGGCAACATCATCTGGTAAGAGCAGTGAGTGTGTAGGTCGACACTGGAGAGAAACGCAGTCTGTGTGGGGTGAGTCTGAGGAGAGAAAAAAAGTCAGAGGACTTTCAGCAAGGATATATGGTAGTCCCTCCTTATTTGCAATTCCCTTTCTGAGGTTTCAAGCTGCCCATATCAACTGCCACCTGAAAATATTACATATGATAAGATATCTTGAGAGAGACCATATGCACATAACTTTTATTACAGTGTATTTTTATAATGTTCTGTTTTATTATTGTTGTTGTTAATCTCTTCTGGTGCCTAATTTATAAATTAAACTTTATCATAGGTATGCATGTATAGGAAAAAGACATAGTATATACAGGGTTTGGCATTATCCATGACTTCAGGCATCCACTGGGGTCCACTGGGGGTCTAGGCTCATATCCCCTGAGGATAAAGGGGGACTACTCTGCCGTAGAGCCAAGCCTAGTCTCTGAGGGAAGTAAAGCCAAACAGTTCTCAACAGCTGGGCACAATCTCCTTTGTAAGTAAGAAGCCACTTGCAACCATGAGAGGTCCACCTGAAGTTCCTAATAAGTAAGGAAGCTCCTTTCCAGCATTGTAAACAAATACAGCTTAACACCAGTATGTGAAGAGACTCTCAATTATTTTTTTAAGTTCAAGAGACTTACTATACAACATGCTGACTACCCTTCATCACAATTTATTATATACTAGAAAACTGCATAAGAAAGTAGATTTTAAGTGTTCTCACCAACAAAAAAGTACGTGGTGTAATGTATATGCTAATTAGCTTGATTTTACCATTCCACAATATGTGTATACATATTTCAAAACATATGTTGTACACCACACATAGACTATTGTTATTTGTCAATTAAAAAAAGGGAAAAAAAACACAGGCTGGGCATGGTGGCTTACCCCCTTTAATCCCAGCACTTTGGGAGGCTGAGGAGAGCAGATCATTCGAGGTCAGGGGTTCAAGACCAGCCTGGCCAACATGGTGAAACTACATCTCTACTAAAAATACAAAAATTGGCTGGGTGTGGTGGCACATGCCTGTAAATCCATTGTGCAGAACCATAATTCTGAGATTCTGTAGATTGTCCAATGATAAGGTGATTTTTATCTAATGGAAAATCAGCAATGGAAAGCAACAGTGTTAAGTCCAGGCAAGTGCATGCCATCCTGGCTTATGGTTATAGATGACATACTAAATAACCCACCCACCACGTTTCATCTAATTCACTCAGACAACCTTCTCAGGGAGACAGGTCCCAGAGGGTGGACAAAAGTAAATTGAGGATGAAGAGGCTTGGGATTTTCTGGCTTTCCTAGTTTGAAGGCAGTGGAAGATGTTAGGCAGCTTGAGCACTCAGGGGGAAGGGGAAACTGGAGTAGGTAGACAAAAAAAGGGAAGTAAACACAAAGGGGGAACTTTCCTCTCTGTACCACTCAAAATGGGGACTTTGATCTCACTGGTTCAGAAGATCCAGGGGGCCTGATGGGTTCTGGAATTCCTGGTTGGATGAAAGATTGTAGGCTACGGAGCCTTAATGCAAGAAGGCATCAAGGCATTAAACTAGTGGAGTATGGAGAGGGTCCAGGGACAGAGCTCAAACCTTCCATCTGGGGCATCACTGGGGAAAGATACTGTTCCACAGTGTTGAAGCTCAAAGACCACTGCAAAGTAGGAAAAAAATAGAGTTCTGAGGCTGGAAGAGGCAAGGCAGAAGAATTCAGTGCTGTGCCACATTCCAGTTAAACAAATTCTGACCTCTCAAAAGGAAATCAAGATCTAAGTTCCAAGTGTCAAGAAAGGCCTCCCTGAGGTTGGTGTGTGCCGGCCAGGACATCAGTGTGGTGGGTCTTGTGGGTTGTGAGAACTGGCAAGGGGAACCTCATCTCAGATGACAGCAAATAGAAACTGGCTTGGACACCTGCTTTAGGCACATACCTGCTGCACAAAGATTACCAGATAGTGGGAGTGGAGACAGGCAAAGACATCTGCATCTCAGGATTGGAGACAGAAGAGGAGGCTGTTTGCTAATATTTTCTGCTCTGGCCCCCCTGTTCTTGAACCAAACTGGACTAACTCCAGGATTATGATGTTGGATTCACCCAGGGATCCACAGAATCAAAGGTGTTAATGGGGTCGTTATGATGGGCATCCATGAACAAGGTAGGTGGGTGTCCTCTACAATTGTGAATGGCATGAGAGTGGCCCCTGGAACTTTTCCTGGGGAATTTCTTCTGTCTCCTCTAAGAAGTGTTTCTCTCTGAATAATTCAGTCTTTGGTTTTTCAACAGATTCATAATTTCTATTTGGTTCCTTACATGGTCTCTCCATACCATCAAGTCACCCATTCTGGAACACATGGTACATGCCCAATATTTCAACATGGTAGAAGTCAAGTACTAGTAAACCACAATTAGATGACTAATTCTTCTTTCCCACAGAGGTACTAAAAGGTCAAGCGTGAATCAAGTCCTATAGACAAAGGCTGTCCTGTAGCTAAATCATCATCCAAGGAAGATATGGGAGGTAAGGGACTATTTGAATTTCAGCAGATAGTTAAACCATACAGAGGAGACCATTCTGTTTGGAAATAGAATGCGATGCTAAAATTTGAGGTTAATCAGTTAAAGCATCGCCTAAATGTGCATCCTGATTATTTGTTTCCATTGTTTGTTTTATTAAACACATATTTTGTATACAAAACAGACAACTATATAATGACTTATGTTCATCTTACAGGGGTGTGATCTTAGGTAATAAAAATAGAGAAAGATTTAGCATGACTCAAAAAGACAACCAACCTTCACTGACAGAAAAGCATGGATGATAAAGATATACAATTGACTAGCGTTTTCAAACCTGATGTCCAAAAAGCAAATCTCCTGAGGAGCTTGACAGAAGCCCAGACTCCTGCACCCACCCCTGGAAATAACCATCATGAGGGAACATTTTTTGTGAAAGCTCACTAAGTGATATTTTTTTCGAGACAGAGTTTTGCTCTTGTTGCCCAGGCTATAGAGCAATGGTATGATCTCAGCTCACCACAACCTCCGCCTCATGGGTTCAAGTGATTCTCCTGCCTCACCCTCCTGAGTAGCTGGGATTACAGGCATGTGCCACCACGCTCAGCTAATTTTGTGTTTTTTTTGTAGAGAGGGGATTCCTCCATATTGGTCAGGCTGGTCTCAAACTCCTGACCTCAGGTGATCCGCCTGCCTCCGCCTCCCAAAGTGTTGGGATTACAGGTGTGAGCCACCTCGCCCAGCTGAAAGTTCACTAAGTGATTCTAATGTGTAGCCTCATCTGAGAAGCACCATTCCACAGGGTGCTATGATGAGCTCACTGAGGAAGAAGGCTTCAGAGCAGGAGTATATTAGCTGAGTGCACCCAGCAAATCCACACACAAGTCTTCATGGGGCATGTAAGGACTTCAGTGACCACAAAGTTTCTGCCTGATGAGAATATAATCCTTTAGGCTGCTAAGGAGCAATGGCCTGTGCCAACACCACCTTCCATTCCATGGTTAGAGCCCAGGATTCTAACTGGGAGCAAACTAGGCCTACACAAGCCAATCTAGGCCCTCATGCTACAGGTGGGTAGCCAGAAAGATAATAAAGAGACAGGGACTCAGTAAACAAGTATTAAATGGAATCAAAAAACTTTGCCTTGATCCGCTGCTCCTCTCTACTATGCCTTCTCTCCCTCCTTCCTTTCACAGTCAAGTTTTTTGAATGAAGAGTTTATTATGTTCACTGTGCCTATGTTGCTGGGGGTAGCAGAAGGCACTTTCACAAAGAGAAAACAACATGCTGAAGGAACAGAAATGAGCAAGGATGGTGAATGCTGAAGGCAGCCTGGATGCCTGGACAGGAAATTTTCCCTAGAGGGAAATGGCTTAGATGGGGCTGAGACATGATGAGAAGTGTCTTGAGTTCTGGGCTGGAGGTTTGACAATGGTGATCAATCCATGACCATATGAAGTTTTTAACCTGGGAAGCTGATTTATAGTTGACAAGGTTAAGAAGGAAGAACTGATCTTTTGCATTTTCCTCTGGCCAATTTTAAGATCTGTATAAACTGTATGGTCTACTTTTTGAGACAGTGTTTTTGCTCTGTTGCCCAGGCTGGAGTACAGTGGTGTGATCACAGCTCACTGCGGCCTTGACTTTCCAGTCTCAAGCGATCTTCCTGCCTCAGCCTCCCAGGCAGCTGGGACCACAGGTGTGTGCCACCACACCTACATAATTTTTTTAATTTACAGAGATAAGGTGTTGCTATGTTGCCCAGGCTGGTCTTGAACTCCCAGGCTCAAGTGATCCTCCCACCTTGGCCTCCCAAAGTGCTGGGATTATAGGTATGAGCCACCACACTCAGCCTGTTTGTTTTTAATCCTGAATTAGGAAGGAATGCTGCAGAAATATGGGGGTAAAAGCTGAACTAGCTGGGCACAGTGGTGCGTGGTTGTAGTCCTAGCTACTCAGGAGGCTGAGGCAGGAGGATCACTTGGGCCCAGGAGCTCGAGGCTGTAGTGCAGTATGATCGGGACTGTGATAGCCACTGTACTCCAACATAACATAGTGAGACCTCATCTCAAAAAAAAAAAAAAAAAAAAAAAAAAGCTGAACTACTATCAATTTAGGCTCTAAATCTGTTCCCAGCTGGGCCCTCACTGATAGATACTTAGAAACTCTTTTATTCATTTGTAGCTGTAGCTAAGTTCTACCTGAAGTCTAAATAGTAATGATTCTAAACTTTTCCCCATCTCTTCCAGTTTCTAAATTCTCCTTGGTCCCTTTTGCTCAACAGCAGACCTAGACTCCAACCTTATTGAAGTCAAGATTGTCTAAAATGAGTTTCCTCAACTCTTCCAGACATCATTTCAAAATCTCTCTGTATCTTCATTTCCATTCATTCAATTTTGTCTTGGAGGAATGAATGTTTTTCCCCCTGTGAAGATAAATCCCTCTTTGTACTTCTGATTTAATCCTTCCTTATCACCACATTACCTTGTCTCTCCTGCCCTTTTACATCTCCATTGTTGACTCACTGGGCATAGGAACATATTCAGAAAACTATACACAAGAATGTGGATCAACCTTCAAAATGTTGAGCAACAGACGAAAGACATAAATATACATATGATATAATTCCATTTACAAAAAGGTAAAAACCAGGCGAAAGTAGACTGTAGTGTTTAGAGATACACATTGAGGTGGTAAAACTATAAACGAAGCAAGGGAGGGAGGACCCAGGTAGTGTGTGTATAGATATTTGCTTAATGATTTGTTAAGTGTACATTTAGTTTCTGTGAGCTTTCTCATATACATGCTATATTTTGAAATACAAAGCTTTTGAAAAACAAAATCAAAACAAAACACATGTTCAAGCCTTTCACTCTGAACAATCAATCAAACATTGTCTCAACCCAGCTTTTCCTTAAACCACCATCCTATCTCTCTCCTTTCCTCTACAGTAAGTTGCTCAAAATGGTAGTGTACACTTCTTTATCTCCACAACCTTAATCCCTATGACTTCTTAAACTCTTACAGTTTACTCCCATTAATGCTTGAAACACACTAAATCGAGGTCCTCAATAACTTCATCAAATCCAGACTGATCCAAGTCTTCACCATTCTGGAGCCCTCCGCAGCATGTGACATGGTTAACGTCCAGAAATTCCTTCTTAAAGTCTTCCGTGCCTTAACACTACCCTCACCTTTTTCATCTATCTCTTTGCTTCTTTGCTAACTACATTCTATGTTCCCTTAGGTAGTCTCTCCCGCCAGTTGCCAGTGAACCTTTTCTTGCTCTAGACTCTTCCCCTACTTCCAAGGCTTCCAAGGTCAGCACTATATAGTGGATTCCCAGAGCCCTCTCTCCTGCTTTGACTTTGCTCCCAAGTTCTAGCCCTACATTACTAACTGCCTGATAACTACCTCCAATAATTTGATATCTCACCAGTCCCTGAAATTCAACATGCTCAGAACTGAACCCCATTTTCAAACCAAGTCCTTTTCCTGGATTCTCTACTTTTGCTTATGAGATGATCACTGCAAGGCCCCAAATCTCTGAGTCATCATTGATTCTGTGTCATCATCCTCTATTACTCATTTCCCAAATCCTCTGAAATCCTACATTCATCTCCTCTTTCCCAAACACACTGGCATCACCCTAGCTCTCATCATTATTAGATTTGATCAGCACATTAACCTGTAAATCACCTCCTTGCCACGACCTACCTTAAAAATGTATTTATGTTAAAGTTTCTAAAGTATGGCTTTAATCCTATCCTTGCTCTGCTCAAAAACCTTTAAGAATTCTCCATATACTAAAAAGTGGAACAATTCTGCCTGTCTACTCCAGACCCTCTAGAACATGGCTCCAACATACTACATTAAAATTTCCAGATATGTACCATAAATCCCAGCGAACTGGTCCACTCAATGCTCCAGAACAGAGTCTGCCTCTTCTCCACCTGTCCTCTCCATAAGGAACTTGCCCTTGGCCCAGCTTGTCAACATGCTACTAAACCCTATCAAGCATGGTCCCTCCTTCCTCTGAATTCCACAATGTCCTGCTGGTACCTCTTGAGGCCCTTAGCACATTCTGCCCCAGGTGAAGTTATTAATTATCTATTTGTTTATTCTCCTTCATGAAGCTAAAATCATATCTTACTCAAATTTGTGTTCCCTGGCAGATAAGGAACAAGTTTTCTCCCCTCCATCTACTACAATGGGGGCAGGGAGGATACACGACAATAGGCAAATCATCAATATGAATGTAATTGAACAGAAAAAAGGGCGGAAGGCACATGGGACTGCCTCGCAGGTCAGTCTTTCCCAAATTCTGGCATATAAGTATATGTAATCCAAAATTAAGCCAATTCATTTGTAACTCTGTCATACAACAAAAAAATGCAGTTTGGGCTATGAGTAAGGTACTGAAAAGGAAATAGAAAGAAAAATTTAAAATAATCTTTAAGGAAGGCATTATATTTTACCTGAACATTACCAGAAGGCTGCACAAGATATGTAGACACTTGAAAATCATGTATATTTATAGCCCTTCTTGTTTCTATAAAGGTGCTTTAAGAAAGACCAAATGCAAGCATCTAAAATAACCTCTTTGGCTCATGTTAAATATTTTCAGTTATATACCTTGAAGGAACATCATCTGTATATAGTAGGCATAATCTCTAAGGTCAATGTCCACATATATTCTAGGCCAGCATCCCATCACCAGTCACACTCAAAGGGAAACTGGAACTTTAGAGAAAATAGTTTATTTTTGCTAAAAAATAAATAAAAAGTTAAAAAAAAAATTTTAAAGTCCTAAGTGTTCCCAGAAAACAATACTGGAGTGCAACAGTCAAGTATGCCACTAAGGACTGCATCCAAAAGAGAGAAGAACAATAAATAATCTGGATATAACTGACTTCATTCAAAGAAAGAAACACCAAGTGTGTTTATACCACCATGGGAGACATGGAGACTAACCCTCAGAGAGCTCAGAATTGCTTACATGAATCCAGCCCAGTGTGATAAGGCCCTGCTGATCCTGTATGAGGAAAAGTTCTTCTTCATTCTCTGTGTTGCAGTAATCAGACCCAGCACTTTGCTTGGGAATGAGAACATGGGTAATGGTAAATTCATTCCTCATCTGCCAAAGGAGAAAACAGCTGGTCACAATTCCCTGGCGCTCATGCAATCCTGCTCCACTCCATCCCAACAGTGGAAAGATAAGCATCTATACGTGTGAAGCCCTTCCCACACAGCAGGAGTCCTGCCACTCAGTGGTTCATAACCTTGGCTGCTCATGCACATTGCCTGAGGTGCTCTATACAGTGACAGATGCAGAGACCAACCCCAGAACTCTGCATCTCGGGCAAACACCACAGCCCTGAGGGAATTTCCTGCTGTGCCAAACTGATCTGCTTAGAAGCTCGGGGTAGAGTATCATTTCTTTTCCTTTGCTCAGGTCTAAAGTAGTTTTCCTTTCACTGTTTCCTTAAGTCTTTCTTATTCTGTAAGCCTCAGCTTACATCTGTTCTACTTCAATTATTTATTCATTCAGCAGTAAAAGGTTCTTTAAGTGCCTCCATTCAGTGACCTTTCCTTCCTCAAAATTCCGAGTACTTACACTGTACATATTTTTCAGCATGCTGGTTAGATTTTAGTGCATGTCAGCCTTCTCTCCAAAGTGACTGTGCACTTTCTGTGGACACATACTATGTGCTTTACATATTTTATATTTCCAGATCCTAACATAAAGCAGGTACTAAAAAAATTGATATGTAGACAATGTACTAAAAAAATTGATATGTAGATAATGACTGGATCTTCCTACCAAGTTTAAAATTAGGTATTTCTTACTACTAACATTAAAATAATCACTTCAATTCAATCAATTAACACAGGGTCACCAAATTCAAAGTGACACAAAATTATGCAATCCACAGTTCCTTCAGTGAAGGGATCAGTACAAAGAGTAACTGACCCTGGATATTTTCTCAGAGTCACAGGATGCCAAGAGGGGAAGAAACAGTTTCAGCTCAGAGAAGAGTTTTTGTTTGTTTGTTCGTTTTTACCAGTTTTCCACAGAGAATTCCACATGTCTCCACTCCCCGGGCAGTGTTGGCACTGGCTAATTGTAGAAACTGGGGGCACAGCCGCCCGGGCACCACCACGTGGCGCAATCCATTGATTGTAGGAACTGTAATGGAGAAAGGAGAAAAGTCTGAGACCACTGAGCTCCACCTCCCCAAGCAGCCCTCACAGCCAGCAGCCCTGGGAGAGTAACATTAAGCCACTGGGATCCTCCCAACTTCAGGTAGGGAGTGGGGATCTCATCCTAATGGCACCAAGGAAAAGGGTTGTAAAGTCCATTCTCCAATCTTGGGCCACAGCTGTAAGGAGCACATTACTTCAAGAAGAGAAAATAGTGGGCTTTAATCACTCAAGTTAAGAAAAGGGCAAACTACTACCTTAAGCAAAGTTTTCTTGCTGGGTGTGTTGTCTCACGCCTGTAACCAAGCCCTTTGGGTGGCTAAGGCGGGTGAATCATGAGGTCAGGAGTTTGAGACCAGCCTGGACAACATGGTGAAACCCCATCTCTACTAAAAATACAAAAAATTAGCTGAGCATAGTGGAGGGCACCTGTAATCCTAGCTATTTGGGAGGTTGAGGCAGAAGAACTGCTTGAACCTGGGAGGTGGGGGGTTGCAGTAAGCCGAGATCATGCAACTGCACTCTAGCCCAGGAGACAGAGTGGGATTCCATCTCAAAGAAAGAAAAGCTTAAGAATATAATTGGATTGTTATTCAATAGACAAATGCTTGAGGGAATGGATACCCTATTCTCCATGATGTGCTTATTTCATATTGCATGCCTGTATCAAAACATCTCATGTGGCGGAGATTGTGGTGAGCCAAGATTGCACCGCTGCACTCCAGCCTGAGCAACAGGAGTGAAACTCTGACTCAATTAAAAAAAAAAAAATCTCATGTACCCCATAAATATACACATCTACTGTGTACCCACAAAAAATAAAATTTAGGGGGGAAAAAAGAGAAAAGCTCTTGAAACATTTCAGAATTTTCTGTCAGAATCTAATACAGAGGATTAAAAACATAACCTTCCTGCTGTGGTTTGACTGTGTCTCCCAAGGTTCCTGTTTTGGAAACTTAACTTCTAATGCAAAATTATTGCAAGGTGGGATCTTTAGGAGGTGATGAGGCTATGAGGGATCTTTTTTTGCCCTCCCACACTTCTGTCATATGATGATGCAGCAAGACGCCCTTGCCAGATGTGGCCCCTGGATCTTGGACTTCCCACTCTCTAGAACCATGAGCCAAATAAATTTGTGTTCATTATAATTTACCCAGCCTCAGGTATTCTGTTACAGCAGCACAAAATGGACTAAGACACTGCCCATTCATGTGAATTTTAAATCTTTTATCTCAGATAAGAATATCAGACAGTATGACTTTAAAAGAAATATACTAGTATGTATTCTTGAGAATGGAAAACAATCTGGGTAGTTATTTACTTCTGAACTTAGTCTTTTGGAAGAAAGTTAAAATGCCAAGCCACAACAAAATAAAAAATACAGTGTAGTCCTCCAAAAAAAGGCATGAGCAAAGCAGCTCATAAAAAATGCCAAGAATGGACCCAGTTTCTGAACATCATGGAGAAACTCAGAGACAGCCAACAAGCTAAAGTTAGGAAGTGTCTTTCACAACTATATTTTCATATTAAAAAAAAGAGAGAGAAAAAAAGATGTTCTGCTTTTGCATATTCAACAGCAAGATCTGAATTGCTAGAGAGGTAACAAAGCCAGAGCAGGAGACAGTCACACAGCAGTCTGATGACGGTAGCTAAAGATTATGAATTAGGTTTGGCACAGTCCTTTCCTTTCAGCTAAAAAGTTGACAGTCTGACTTTCAAGAATAGTACTAGCTCTTCAGAAAACCAACCAGACCAGATTTAAGCAAAGGCCCCTTTTATAACATGGCCAGTGTATTAGGACACAGTACAGCAATACTTATCAGATGGGTTTCTGTGACCAAAACTTAATGAGTGGGATCAGGGAGGTATTCTTAGGACGACTCCCTCAGAATGATAATCTGTTTGCTACAACTGAGAATAAAGAGGATATCAGCAAATGCACTTACTACTTTCTGAGTTGCTCAGTGCTCCAGGTTTCAAGGACCTGTCCACCACAGGTGGCTTAGCTGGCCTTACAGTTGTGTGACAGTCTGAAGGCTGTGTGGATGAGACAGGTGAGGTGGGGAACACATCTAAGGAGGGCTTCTCCAAGCCAGGCACTAGTGGGCCACCTAGGCCAGGGTCCACCTTCCCAAACTCCTGTACAATTTTCAGTCGCTCTTTTTCTAGCTCCTGGTTCCGGATCATCTCCTCGAAGGCATGGAACTGTTCCTGTTCCAATTGCTGCTGCTTCTGTTGTGCTACCCTCTGCTTTTCCTTTTCCAGCTCTTGCTGGATGGCCATGTTCCGGGCCAATTTCTCTGCTTCCTTCTTCTACAAAGAGAGAAAATTTAGGCTAACACTTCACACCTCAGTGACTTCATACTTCAGGAGAATGAGGCTTTTTAAAATGGAGATTTCCAAAATGTACTTCTGCTCTGGCCTGATTACTTAACAAAGAATTCATGCTTTCCTCAGTATTTTTATACCCATGGAGTGTAGTCACCACCCCTTTCTATCTGGCCGCTGTATACCTATCTCCAAGGACAGTTAAAATCCCAACCCCCTCAATACCCCGCTGGCAATGACTCTACCTATTGCACTTTCCTCTTCACTGAAATCTTTTTTTTTTGAGACAGGGTTGCACTCACTGTTTCCCAGGCTGAAGTGCAATGGCATGATCATGGCTTACCACAGCCTTGACCTTCCAGGCTCAAGCAATCCTCCCACTTCAGCCTCCTGACTAGAGGGGACCACAGGTGTGCACCACCACACTTGGCTAATTTTTGTATTTTTTTTAAATGGAGTCTTGCTCTGTTGCCCAGGCTGTAGTGCAATGGCGTGGTCTCCGCTCCGTGCAATCTCCACCTCCCCGGTTCAAGTGATTTGCCTGCCTCAGCCTCCCAAGTAGCTGGGATTACAGGAGCCTGCCACCATGCCCAGCTAATTTTTTTGTATTTTTTAGTGGAGACAGTGTTTCACCATGTTGGCCAGGCTGGTCTTGAACACCTGCCTCGGCCTCCCAAAGTTACAGGCGTGAGCCACAATGCCTGGTCAATTTTTATATTATTTGCAGAGATAGGGTTTTGCCATGTTGCCCAGGCTAGTCTTGAACTCCTGGGCTCAAACAATCTGCCCAACCAGCCTCCCGAAGTGCTGGGATTCCAGGCATGAGCCACAACGTCTGGCCTGAAATCTTGATTCAACTTACTGTCTGTACTCTTCTAACCTGTATCATAGGCAGTTCTATTCTCTCTGTGTCATGCATATATTCTGTATTTCAAGTAAGGCTATAAAAGAGAACCAGATCCAAACTTATATCTGCTATCTTGGGGGTCATCTCCACTAAATTTTTTTTTTTTTTTTTGGAGAGAGAGTCTCACTCTGTCACCCGGGCTGGACTATAGTGGCCAATCATGGCTCACTAAAGTCTCAATCTCCCTGGGCTCAGGTGATCCTCCCATCTCAGCCTCTGAAGTAGTTTGGACCAGAGATGCATGCCACCATGCTAATTTTTGTATTTTTTGTAGAGATGGGGGTTCACCATGTTTCCCAGGCTGGTATTGAACTCCTGGGCTCAAGCGATCACCTACCTCAGCCTCCCAAAGTGCTAGGATTACACGCATGAGCTGTCATGTCTGGCCTTCTACTGAATTTTAACCCAAAATGAAGCCTCTGAAATTTTTAAGGTTTTTATGTATTTGTTCAACACAGAGTGACATTTGAAGCTAATAAGAAATACTTGAGTCACATTTGGATAAAGAAAAATAAAAAAAGAAACGCTAAGTAATAACCTCCTCCTTGAAGCATATACTCGCTCGGTGCTTTAGAAATGTAAACCCCATAGCTGTTCATCTCTCTGCTGATTTTCAACATCAGAGTCCATAATAGAAACCAGTGGACAGCTATACAATAGCCTGTGAGTGCCTGCAGTATGTATTCACAGATGGCCACTGACAGCGCCCTGGAAGTCTCTCCACATGTTTTAACTGACTCTTCCTAAAAAGAATCATTTGAAAATAGCTTGAAATGACCAGGCACAGTGGCTCATGCCTGTAATCCCAGCACTTTGGAAGGCCAAGGCAGGCAGATCACCTGAGGTCAGGAGTTTGAGACCAGCCTGGCCAACGTGGTGAAACTCTATCTTACTAAAAATATAAAAATTAGGCAGGTGTGGTGGCAGATGCCTGTAGTCCCAGTCACTCAGGAGGCTGAGGCAGTAGAATCACTTGAACCAGGAGGCGGAGGTTGCAGTGAGCAGAGATCACGCCACTACACTCCAGCCTAGGTGACAGACAGACTGAGACTGTCTCGAAAAAAAAAAGAAGCTCGAAAAATCAATTCATAAATCAATTTATAAATAGCTTCAGGTAAAACCAAATGTGAATCAAACCCTCAAATTTTCTAATCTAAAAACTTATGTTTTGGAGAGAATGTTCATTGTTCTTAAGATTCTCGCTAGATACAGCCGGCAGGCAACAGATCTTCTGCCCCTCAAGTCTCTCTTTGACAAATAGGCTATATCTGTGTTACAATCCTGAGCTTGACCACTGGTGTTCTACTTTTTTGAGTTTCTGGTCTTTGCCCCAAAAAAGTAAAATGCACATTAAAAGCACAGGATATACTGAAATGTCATATTACAATCCCAGGGCACAGCCTAAAAGAAGCAAAATAATTTCCTTTTCTTCTTCTTGGCTGTTATGTACTAACCTTTTCTTCATTATATTCTGTATATTCTTTGGTATATCGTTTTAACAGCTCTGCCTTCAGCTCTTCTGCTTTGGGAAATGCAATCTCCTTTAATTTCTGGGACGCAAAACAGAAAACAGAATTAGAACAATGCCAGAAAATTAGAGAATCCAAAAGAAGACTTAAGTTGGTGATTGCAATATTTTCAAAAATGATTTAAAATACCCACTACTATACTATACTTGCTACTTCAGAACTGTTCCGGTGAAATGGCCTTATCTCCTATTGTAGAATCTGATATTCAGATGCATAGACTACTACTTTTATCCTGAAGTCAGTCTGTGCTGCTTTGAAGCTTTTAGATAGGCAACAATGAAAGTGAAGACCCACCTTTACTGTGTCTTTCTTTTCAGGAATGACAGCCGATTTGTATTCTCGATGCTTTGGTAGTTTCTCAATAAAGAGCCTAAGGAAATACTTCAAAATGATTATGAAGCAAAGAAAATGTCCAAATGTCCATAAGACCCTGAAGCTATGCAACCCCCTTATCCTAAAGCCCTTACATGAAAGGTTCCAGAAGTGCAGTGGAGAGAGAGCTAGCACACTCGGCTGGGCCATACTCCCTTCCCATCTATATCCGGGTAAAGAGCCAGTCTTTTCCTCTACTCCCAAACTAGGCAGCAAGCACCAGACTCCTACAATGAAAAGGATGGCCAAAAAAATTTTTTAAAGCCTTTCTTGTGCCCAAAAATGTACCTCCAAAGAAACAGATCTTTTTCTTGTTGTGATATGACAGGCTTTCAAAGGAAAGGGCTTCTGTCACAAAGCAGTCTTTAGAGAACAGTTTGGCAGCTATGGGCAGGAAGTAGCAGAAAACCATGTTTCTTTACTACTGTTAGCTCTTATGTAACCTTTAACTTTGGCTTTTTTCCTTTGAGACTCATGTTCCTTCAAAGAAGCATATTATTTTGCAACATACGAAATGCATGGAAATACTTAGTGCATGTGTTCTATGTACATAATATGTGCATATTGCATGTGTAGTATGCATTACCTTTGATGAAAAGTACTTAGGTAAATATAAGATGCTTGATTTCATCTTTTGATTCTTGTCCTTGGCTCTGAAGCTCAGTGGGGAGAATAAACTGAATCAATTCACAAACCTCACATTTAAGACATCTACTTAGGGGCACTGAAAATAAATAAAAGTCCAGTAACTTGTCACAGAAAGAAAGTGGCAAATTCAGGATTTCAACATGGGCAGGCTGGCTCTGGAGCCTACTCTTAACCACTACACCATATTTCTTCCATATGGTTCCTGGAATGTCTAGAACTACTGGAAGGGTTCTGAACAATGATGTCTTTTAACAGAATTAAGTTGTAATACACAGAAACTGAGATCTAAAAAATAAAAAATAAATTGAAGATAACTTGCCCGTAGCTTTAAAATATTATACTGTAGTTGGGATAAACTCTTTTCCACTTACTGCCTATGGGACAGGAGTAATTGGAAGAGGAGGCCTGAATAAGAAAAAAGATGACCCCCACCAAAACAAACTTTCTGAAGATAAGTCCTCGTCCTTCAGTTCTATATTAGGCACAGAAAAGTTCCATTTCAATCCAACTTGACAAGGCTCCTCAAGGCAGGTATGGACTCTAAAATAAAAATGGTTCTAAAAATCTTCCCTTTGGGTTCATGAAGAAGATATAAAACAGGCTGGGTGTGGTGGCTCATGCCTGTAATCCCAGCACTTTGGGAGATCAAGGCAGGTGGATTGCTTGAGCCCAGGAGTTCAAGACCAGCTTGGGTAACATAGTGAGACCTTGTCTCTGTTTATGTTTTTTAATTTATAAAATATGTTTTAAAACCCACACACACACACAAAACACATAAAAATTAGCTGGGGGTGGTGGTATACACCCGTAGTCCCAGCTGCTTGGGAGGCTAAGGCAGGAGGATCTCTCGATCTCAAAAGTCTGAGGTTACAGTGAGCTTTGATCACACCACTGCACTCCAGCCTAGGCGATAGAGGGAGATCCTGTCTCTTTAAAAAATATATACAGCCGGGTGTGGCGGCTCACGCCTGTAATCCTAGCACTTTGGGAGGCCAAGGTAGGCAGATCACAAGGTCAAGAGATTGAGACCATCCTGGCCAACATGGTGAAACCCCGTCTCTACTAAAAATACAAAAATTAGCTAGGTGTGGTGGCGTGCACTTGTAGTCCCAGCTATTCAGGAGGCCGAGGCAGGAGAATTGCTTGAACCTGGGAGGCAGAGGTTGCAGTGAGCCTGGCACCTGGTGACAGAAAGAGACTCTGTCTCCAAAAAAAAAAAAAAAATATATATATATATATATATCTATATATATACACACACACATATACATACATATATATAAAAGTTTCCTTGAAGTCTATATTTAAAAGAAACAAAGATTCATTTGTTCAAACCATAAGTCCTGAAGAGTCTATTAATATAGATAAGATATATTTCTTATATTTTAGAGACTGATAGACAATTCAGTAGAAAGTTCACCTTAGCCCCAAAGACCAAGATATACATTAGTATTTACTACCTTTAGCAGGCTGTATGTGCTTTGTATTGAGGCCTAAATCAGCTAAGAAAGTACTATGTCATATAAACACCATGTTTTATGTTCACTTACACTCTCATTATAGAACTAGACTGTGAGCTTCCTGAGGCCAGAAATTGTGTTTCATGCTTCTTTGTTATCTCCTTGGAAGCCAGCACAGTGCCTTGTATAAAGAGGCACTCAATAAATATTAAATAGACCTTATATACATATGTAAATATATGTATGTATACACACTAAGTTCTTAACATAGGTAAGTTCTTGGAAACCGTGACTTTAAGTACAATGACATATAACAAAACCAACTTTACCATACACGAATTGACATAAACAAGAGTTAAGTTCCTTTGACCTATCCTGGTCACAAAAACACCAGACTTCTAAATACAGACCAGAACACTTCTAATATTAACCACTAAAATAAATGTGAGCTACACATACATTTAAGAAAAACTTATACAAACAAGGAAGTACATTATTTACTTGCTTATTCAGTCCCAAGTGGCCAGAGTCCATCCCAGCAGCTCAAGGCCAAGGCAGAAACCAACCCAGACAGGATGCTCTCCCATTGCAGGGCACACACACACACACACACACACACACACACACTCGCTCGCTCACTCACTCAGAATGAGGACAATTCAGACAAGCCAGTTCACCTAATGTGCAGACCTTTGGGATTTGGGAAGAAACTTGAGTACCCAGAGAAAACCCACACAGACATGGGGAGAATGTGCAGACTCCACACAGAGAGTGGCCCCAGGCAGGAATGGATTTTTCTTTTCATCAACATTAAAACAAAACCACATTGGACATTATTTGATGACCTGCCATATTTATTTATTTACTTACTTTGCTTTGTAATTATATAAAATAACAGGAAGTATACACAGAAACGAGGGCAGGGGAAATAGAATAGGTAAGAGTAGGCATGAAACTTTTCACCAAATACCTTTTTATATTAACTTTGACTTTAAACCATGTAATGGAATCTAGTTTATAAACAACAACAACAAAAACCTCCCAGACCTGTACAGGAATAGCTTTCCCTTGTTTCAGCAACTGTAGGCAGTTTTCTGAATGGGGACAGATGAGCAAAAACACCTCCTGAAACAGACAATGGGCAACATAACTCATTACTCTTACTGGAGGTAAAAGAGCTTAGTGGTTAGGAGGGTTGGCTCTGGAGCCACTATGCCTGGGCTCAAATCCTGGCTTTGCTATTTACTAGTTGTGTGACTTTGGGCAAGTCACTTAATCTCACTATCCTTCTGTTTTTTGCGGGAGGGTCCAACCTTTTGGCTTCCCTGGGCCACAATGGAAGAACTGTCTTGTGCCATACATAAAATATACTAACATTAACAATAGCTGATGAGCTTAAAAAAGGTGATACCTACCACCACAGATAGGCAAAAATGTCCTCAAATTCAAAGGGTTGGACATGGCTGATATCCCATATATAAAATCGTACAGATGGAGACAAACTAGTACTCCCTGACAGGCTTGCTGTGACACTTAAACAGATAATAAAATGCTAAACACAGTGTCTAGCACATAACCAATATTTGCTATGGGTTTCTATAATTTTTTTTAAACTAATAAAAAATATGAGCAAGAATTAGAGATGAAGATGCTAACACCAGCATCATGTACAGGTCTGGGAGTTTTTCCTTTATTTATAAACCATATTCCATTACATGGTTCAAAGTTCTATCCCTAGAAGCTTTCTAGAGATAGAAAGTGGTGGCCCAGATGTATACTGTTCTCTGGGTTATATCTAGTTGGAACCTAGAGAGAGGAAATGCAAACAAAGATATGATGGCAAAAACACAAGCAAAACAACCTAGTAAACAATGAAAAAAGAAGATATAAACAGAAAAGTAAATACAAACGGTGAATAAATACATGAAATAATGCTGAATCCACTCATAATTAAAGAAATTCAAATTAGGATGTGATACCATTTTCGTCCATCAAATTGGCAAAGGTTTAAGTGTTTGATTATATCTGGTATAGAGAAATGGGATCCTCATACAGTGTTAAGAAAATTGTAAATTAATGTAACTTTTTATCTTAAGGGAGGGAAAATGAAAGCTAATTATTGAAAATTTAAAATGTTTATATCCTTTTTTATTTTTATTTATTTACATACTATTTACTTATTTATTTTGAGACATAGTCTCACTCTGCTGCCCAGGCTGGAGTGTAGTGGGGTGATCTCAGCTCACTGCAACCTCTGCCTCCCGGGTTCAAATGGTTCTCCTGCCTCAGCCTCCCGAGTAGCTGGGATTACAGGTGCCTACGACCACGTCAGCTAATTTTTGTATTTTTAGTACAGATGGGGTTTCGCTATGTTGACCAGGCTGGTCTCCCAACTGCCGACCTCAGGTGATCTGCCCGTGTCAGCCTACCAAAATGCTGGGATTACAGGCATGAGCCACTATGTCCGGCTTAAAATGTGGGTATCCTTTAAACTCACAATTCTATCTCTAGGAATTTATCCTAGAGATCATTATAAAATAGTACAAAGATGTATGTATAAAACTATTCAATACAGCAGTGTTTAAAAAAGTAGAAAAAACTGAAAACAAAACAAAAAAAACAACCCTAAATGTTCATCAATAGGGGACTATTTAAAAAATAGTGTGCATTCAAATGTGATCATTTGAATGTAATCATTCACCCATTCATTCAATGAATATTTACTGAGCATCTACTATGGGGTCCAGAATTATTCTAAAGGTTGGCGATATGGCAGTGAACAACACAATCAAAAATTCCTCCCCACCACAGAGTGTACATTACAGTGGGAGAACAGACAATAAACAGAAGTATGCTAGGAAAGTCATTAATAGGGAAGTGGGATAGAAAG